TCTGTCTCTCTCTGTCTGGTGAGCGCACGCTCCCTATGGCAAAAACCTCTCAAAAAAAAAAAAAAAAAAAACCCCCCAAAAAAAAAAAAAAAAAAAAAAAAGAAAGATAGAAAAGTCATGATGCGTTTTTACATAGAAAAACCGAAAAATATATCCTAACTTTTTCTACACTGCCTGCACTGGAACATGGGTGTGTGGGCAGAGGCACTGGGCGTGCTTCTGTCCTCTCACAGCCGTCGGGAAGCACCCTCACAGTCACAGAGGCACCACTCAAAGACCTGGCTTTGTGAGTCCCTGAACTTCAGCGCCCGACAGCCTCCAGATTGCTTGTTAGGTGAGGAAAATCATCCCTTGGTAGGTGGGAGCAGAATGTATTTGAACTGGACATTGAATTATTTGAGATGCTTGTGAATGGAAGGAAACAAGATGAATTGGATGGGAACCCAGGGTGACAGCAGAGCCAAGTAAGGCTTCCTGGATTGTTCACTTAGGTTTTGTTTGTTTCCCAGGAAAGAGAATGTCGGGGCCTGCACCTGGATGTGGACCCCATCTTTCCTACTAGTTCAGCACTTTGTGCATAGGATTTCACTCTATGTTGTCATGCTGACAGGAGATCTTCCGGCTCAAGAGTAATTAGTACTAATTAATCTCCTTCATCTTTCCCCAGGGCTTTGTATTGCATAAGGATTGAGCAGTGGCTGAGGGCTCTGGCCTGATGCTGTTACATATCTAGAGGTTACCCAGGACAGAATTACTGCCCGTGGCCACCCCGAAGCAAAAGGAATCAAATCTCCCAAATCCCATTAGACTGTGGTGTGAGGGTGGTAGAAGGTGAAAGTGTCCTTTACTGGGAGATGAGTGTGTTTAAGCAGTTGTAAAAGGATGCTGCTCTGGTAGTGCAAACCAGGGAGCATAGATAAGAAAATAAATTTCGCCTTTAAAAGAATATGGAATATTTATACAAACAAATGACTCTTTTCTTTACAAAACAAATCACTATTGAACTCCATTAAATATTAAATCCGCTTGCCAATGAAGGAAGAATTAGAAAACTCTTCAAGTGCTAAGGAGTAATGCCAATAGAAAGTTGATTAAAAATAGACAAGGCTGGCCCAGTTGTGCCGTGGTTAAGCACTATGTGTTGGGAGTTGCATCCCACCTAGCCAACAGGAGCTCAAATCCTTGCCCCAGTGCCTTGAAAAACACACCAGGTACATGTGCTTCTGTGCCCCAAATCCTGGCAGAATGAAGAAATGTGGGGAAAAATTGTTGCACAACCACATTCCATTGGGGGAGTGCATTCTTCATTTCTCTCCCTGGGGTGGGCACATGTGCCCTCTGACAATTTTAAAAATATAGAAATATAGAACCAGCAGATAGATGGCGTAATGGTTATGTCACTGGACTCGCATGTAGTAGACCATGGTTCTAATCCCAGACCCAGTGGCTTAAAACTCACACGGTGTGTGTGTGTGTGTGTGTGTGTGTGTGTGTG